CTTCTAGCTGTCACTGAAACCTAAGCAAATTCAGTCCTAAACAAGGAGTGCTCCAAAATACCCAGCTGAATTTGAGGAGTTTGTAATCTTGGCTAGATTGAATATGTTGCTCTGCATTTTTCCATTAACTTATTTATTGGGTTTATGTGCTGGTCCAGGTACAGATGAGTGAGTGTAGATATAGTACCTAACATTTGTAAGTCAAGTTAAACATTGCAATATCTAGTAAAAAAGCAAAATCACCATAATAAAAACATCTAAGCATGCCAAAACTCTAGACCGCCTCTCCCAATTTTATTCATTTATTTATATTAAAAAGTTATATGCTGCATTTTGAGAGAGTTTGGGCAATGCAAAACCATAATTAAAATAGTGAAATAGGAACCCCAAACATCACCTCTTAAAGCCATTCTTCCAAGAAGGGCATATATTTTACCAAGGTACCCTAAATATTGTACCCAATCAGTCTGAACTTTGACCCAAAAGGGTTTAAAAATTATCTCCATTCCAAAACTTGTGGAGCCAAGATAAAAAAATATATACCTTCCAACCAGTAATTGTTACCTTTGTAACTGCTACAAAGAAGTTTGGAAGTCATTTTTTAAAGATATTTTTCTCTCATGCTTTTTTGTTATTCATTTTCATATTTACAAAAATATAATCTTCTATAATCATTTTCTGTTTCTTCTTCTATGTTTCAGTAGCTTTTAAACTTTTTTCTAAAATCTTCTTTTAATAAAAAAAATTTATTAAGAAAAGATAAATATAACCCACACAAAGAAAAGCTCTTTTGGAGCGCTCCATAATTTTTAAAACTGGGAAATGATCCTGAGAAAAGCAGTTTAAGAAACACTGATCTAGATAATGCATATGAAACTCAAATAAGGTTTTGTACAAATATTTATTCATGAAATGTATACACTGCTTCAATACATTAGCAATACTCTAGGTTTTTCTGCTATGTGTAAGAAAATTCAGCAATAACAACAATCCATTAACTCATTCCTACTTACTGGTTGGCTTATGGAAGAGACAGGCAAGGATGTTGGAATAGTCCAATCCGTAGACATTGTTGTCAAAGGAAGCATACTAGGTTGAGAAATCTTAGGACCAGGAATTTTTACCCAATAGATAATGAATTTTTGTACAACTGTGAGTCTGTGAAGAGACAAAGCCTCTTAGTTAACAACTGAACTGTAAAAATATCCTAACACAGACATACAATACCCTTTTAAAAAATGACCCCACCAAACATCCATCTAAATTAACCCAGAAAATCCACCATTTGTTCCTTTAAGAGTTATTTAAACCCATTCCAGAGTTATTTAAATTTTAATTCCTAATTAAATAGTGGTAGGAGGATTAATCATAACCAATGACTGATAGAGGCAAAAGTCCCAAGGATTCATACAGATCTATAACAAATGTTAAAGGAAGAGACCATATCCAATCTTTGTGGTATTTATTCTCCAGATCTTTTGAGTTTCTTAACTGTATTGCAGGTGATCAGTCTAGATCAGTGGTGGCTAACCTTTTTGGGCTCGTGTGCCAAAAATTGTGCGCGCACTTGCACACTCACACTCGCATGCCAGCACCTAAAAGGCAATGCGCGTGCCCCCACGCCCCCTAGGCATGCACATGCAATCCCTACTCACCCACCCCTGCCACCCCCTTACCTGCACTGTACCTCACAGCTTATTTTTGGCCGGTTTGAGGCCTTTTTCGGCCTCTCAGAGGCTTGAGGAAGCCTTCTGCAGGCTTTGCAGGCCAAAAACTAGCCCCGTTTCGTCACTTCCGGTATTTTTGGAAAAATGGGAAGTGATGAAACGGGGCTAGTTTTCGGCCTGCAAAGCCTGCAGAAGCCTTCCTCAAGCCTTTGGGAGGCCGAAAAAGGCCTCAAACCAGCTGAAAATCAGCTGTGAGGCGCACAGTGAGGTAAGTTTGCCTGCAGCTTGCGTGCTGGCACAAATGGCTCTGCGTGCCACCTGTGGCACATGTGCCATAGGTTTGCCATCACAGGTCTAGATACAGAGAAGCTAAACTAATGAAAAGAAAATCTTCCCGATGTCTACATACTGTTTATACTAGCCTTCAGACTAAATAGAAGCTCTGAGACAGCTCCTAATTACCTAGAACAGTGGTTTTCCACTTGTGGTCTGTGGACTCTGGGGGCTGTGATGTCAGAATACAGAATAACAGAGTTGGAAGACATCTTGGAGGTCTTCTAGGTCAACCCCCTGCCATTTCAGACAAAGGGTGGTCCAATCTCCTCTTAAAAAGTTCCAGTGAGGGAGAATTCACAACTTCTGGAGGCAAGTTGTTCCACTGATTAATTGTAATGTCAGAAAATTTCTCCTTAGTTCTAGGTTGCTTCTCTCCTTGATCAGTTTCCATCCATCGCTTCTTATCCTCCCTTTCTTTGTGGCAATCCCTTAGATGTTGGAACACTCCTACCATGTCACCCCAGTCCTTCTTTTCATTAAACTGGATATACCCCATTCCAGCAATTGTTCTTTATATGTTTTAGCCTCCAGTCCCCTAATCATCTTCGTTGCTCTTCTACTGCACTCTTTCTAGTGTCTCAACATCTATTTTACATTGTGGCGACCAAAGATGGATGCAGTATTCCAGGTATGGTCTTACCAAGGCATTATAAAGTGATATTAACACTTCACATGATGTTGATTCTATCCCTCTGTTAATGCAGTCTAGGATTGCCTTGGCTTTTTTGGCAGCTGCAGCCCACTGCTGGCTCATATTTAGGTGATACAGTCACAGGAGGTTTGCAAAGGCTTAAAGAAGTGTTATGATTTAAATCTTGAGTTATGTCTTGGGGGGTCTGTGGCCATAAAAGGTATTTTAAGCGGGTCCATGGTGAAGAAAAGTTTGAGAACCACTGACCTAGTCCTAGAGGGTTCAACCTTGGTTCAAGTTGAGCTGAAGCTCTTGCCAGCTGCTTTGTACAAATAAAACAGGGATTCCAACACTGATATGTGAAGACTGAAAGGTCATACAGGACTTTGTCAACATGACATTCAGTTCAGAGATTTGCATATCTTTCATTATCTGCAGGCCATACGTATTTTTGAAAGGAATACATCAGAACATCCAAACAGGAAAATTATTTTAATACACTTACAGAAATTGTACATTCTTTGGTGCATCTCTAGGAGCAATCCAATAAGCATCCATATGGTTTTTCTTAGAGTTACTGGTGTGACTAACAGCTGAATTCTACAAAATACAGAAGCCCCATTTTAGCATTACATAATGGCTGGATTCATACATGGCACTTTATCAAGACACTGTATTAACAATAGCTTTTTGAATAAGCCGCAACCACTTGAGTACCAACAATGCATCAAGTCAGAAAGCAAAATATATAAAGACTTAGTAAAATGTATGAACCAACTCAATAATTAGGTTTATAAACCATACTAAATTCCAATCTAACAATTCATAACTGGTTCACAAACACCAAGCCATACAAAAACTAAATTTTGGTTCAACGCACCATACTGATTAAGCTCAGATACATCTGATTTGTTTAGCTTAATATGTTCTATGAATGCAACTTTACAGTTTAAAAAACAGTTTATTGTTTAGCATTATATATAAACCCAATTGGGGGGCACAGCTTAAAATAAAACGGACATCCGTTAACAGAAACCTTACAAACTATTTATGACTTAGCATGATATAAATGCAATTATTGAGGTGCCAAACAACTTTACTGGAACAACTAGGGTTAATGTACAAACAATCCCATATGAAAGGCAGTCTGAGTTCCTACATCCTAAACCATTTAAGGCTATGAATGTATGCACTAGGAGTTTTATTCTGCCTAAAATCAGATTGTGTTATCAAATGATTTCCCTCACCTTTTAATTTTAAAGATTTCAGTTGCTCACTGTTATTAGGTATTTTAATATTTCATTTTAATGGTTCTTTTATTTGAAGGTGCTTTTACTATTTTATTATATTTTCATATTATAGCTTCTAGCCTACATATTCTCAGGAAGGCCATCCCTATAAAGAGCTGTGTTACTCAGAGGAAGCAGCAAATCATGTTTCATTTTAATATCTGCATACCACCTGTTTAAAATTTCAACCACTTGAGGATTTATTTCTGTTATCTGAACCCACCAGAAACTCATCAATATTACTTAATCTGCACATTGCTCTACAATCTGAATATGTCCATCAGAAAAAGATAAGAGGGATTCTGAAAAGTTAAGTGAGATAAAAAGCACACAGGGAAGGATATATAAAACATGGCAATATAGTGTGCTAACAGCTACTAACTTATTCTGCATCGGATAACCAGCAGAGGGAACCCTGATATTTAAACTTAATCTATAAAGGAAAAATAGTCTATAAAGGAAAAGGTATTATTAAAGCATCATTAGTGTTGATTAATTCCAATATGAAACTGATGCAAATATAAAACTGTAATTTAAAGCAACAGTGTTAAGAATGCTCCCTACATTATTTATTGCTCAAAAGCTAGTCAAAATTGGCTGTCAGAAGCCATTTTCAAGATTTTCTTACCTTTACGTGTCCACATTTAAGGAGCTGAGACCGTTTCCGATCAGCTAATGCAAAAGAACCAATGGGCGGGTCTTCCAAGCGGTCAGCATTACGAGCTTGTAGCAAAAAGCCTTCAAATGCGGGGCCAGAAAAACTAACTAAAATCAAGAATTTGAGAAAAGGAATGGAGATGAATCTCAGTTTATTCTGGCCACAAGAGCAGGCCTCAAATCCAGCATTTTGTAAAATTGCCAACTGCCAGGTGTATATGGACTTCTACTCCCAGAATTCTCTTCAATGGCTAAGCTGGTTATGGGAATTATAATACAACTAGAACATGTTTAAAATACAATGTAAAAACCTGGAACAATGTTAGCTTGTCTTTTCGTGTTTACCACATAATTTGAATGTTACAGTCACCCTTTTATTTTTTATTTTTTTTAAAAAAACAGATACTATAATCTAAAACAAACTTCAGATACAGAACCTGAATTAAGATAGACAAGATGGCAACTTCCTAGAATGGTAGCATGGTAATTTAGAAAACACTCTTGAAAAACCTATGTTGCTAGGAAAATAAAAGTGGCATAGCTGCCCTAGGCTCCTTCTGGAAACAACTCACCTTTTAAGAGTGGAAAAACCAGTAGAGCCTATTATAAATGTTGTTTATAGTTTATACTCTCGCATTAGGAATGAACCATTGTGAACTCAAACTGGGCCCAACAAGTCATTCCAACCCATTAGGCAAAGCTAACCTATAACCAGCATTTCACCCACATTTCTGAAGGAAACAGCAGTGGGGGAAAAATTGTCAAATTTGAATGGTTGCCCATCCCACCAAGAAAGAAGTGATCTGTGTGCCACATGCAGCACAATTAAAAACGTAAACATATAAATGTTCATATTTAAAAAGTACATTTAATCTGCGACATGACCAAAATTGAGCCCAAAATTTCTGTTGCTAAGCCAGACATTTGTTAACTGAATTTTACCCTATTTTACGTCTTTTCTTGCAACCGTTGTTAAATGAATCACTGCAGTTGTTAAGTTAGGAACATGGCTGTTCAGTGAATCTGGCTTCCCTAGAGACTTTGTCGGAAGGTTGCAAAGGAGGATCCCATGGCCCAGAGACACTGCAACCGTCATAAACATGAGTCGCTTGGCAAGCATCTAAATTTGTGACATGGGGATGCTGCAATGGTCATAAGGATGAAAAATGTTTATAAGCCATATTTTCAATGCCATTGTCACTTTGAACGGCCACTAAACTAATATGTATGCTGAGGACATATATATAAACAAGCACAAAAACATGAGAAGATGGTGTTAGCACCATAAGAGAGCCTTGGCGAAAATCAATACCTTTCACACGATCTCCTGGCTTAAATTCTGTCACATTGACTTCAATGGTATGCTTGGGAAATTCCTGAGGTGACCCTCCGTGAAAAGGCAACATGGAGTCACAGGATTCGGATACTCTTCCATCTGGGTAACCAACTGATTGATCAGAAAGGCACGCAAGCAGCCAAGCAATAAAAGTTATTCTGGAAGACTTCATCTACCAAAACAAATTAAGAGTGAACATCACAGAGCTGTTGTCATTCCTTCCTTCACATTTTCCCAAAGCAGCCTTGCAGGGACCTCGGTCTTTTAAAGTTTAATCCCAACCTCTTTCCTTTTTCTTAAATGAATCAGAACAATCATTTTGATTCGCTTCCAGAATTAAAGGGCCTTGGGTTATTTTGAACTTGGACCAAACATCTCTTACTATAAACTACTGAAACCTACTGTGCTGCATACATGAACAGGTTATACATGTATGCAACATGTACATGAACAGGTTTTGCAGGCCCCTACTAGTATACAACCTTGTTAATTCTCTGTAGGCCCAGATAAGATGAGCCAGTATAGTCACCTGCTCAAAGTCAAAGAATAAGAGATGATTTCTATGATGATAATTTCTGCCAGGAACAGACTTTTACCATAGTATACTAACATATATAGGTAGTCCTTCACTTATGACTGTGATTAAGCACACAATTTTAGTTCTATGTTGTGATTATCATAAAACAAACCATCATGTGACTGCACACGATTTTACGACATTTTTTGAAGTGCTTGTTAAGCAAATGCAGGAGTTGTCAAATGAATAGAGTGGTCATGAAGCAAGCCCATTTATTTGTCATGTAAATGCCAGTTTCTGGGGAAAAGTTGTAAATCGCAATCACGTGATTGTGGGATGCTGCAAACGGCCATAAATGTGGGTCAGTTACCAAGAGCCCAAAATGCAGTTGTGTGATTACAAAGGGACCCCAGACACTGGAACTTCAAATCCAGGTTATAAGTAGCTGTTTTAAGGTCCACCATAACCTTGAATGGTAACTAAGCAACCAGTTGTAAATCAAGGACCATCTGTCCTCCAAAGGTTACTTTTCTGCTATTCCTTTCTTCTGGCCAAGGAAGACTATAGCATTCTGCTTTTCATAAGGAAGAGAGACATTACCTTCGCTAGAATCCCAAAGGATAGAGTGGGCCAAGAGATAGTCACTGGAGTAAGATTCCCTAGCGAGCTTCACGGCCAACTGGATTTTTGTACTAAATTCTTCCCACTTGGTTTCACATTAGTTCCTTAATTCAGTGTGCCCACTTTCTTCCTTCATTCCCCATGTTGCAAGATATTGATTCATTTCTTTGTTTTCACTTTATTAAATTTAGGCAACCTGACTCATGATTACTCTGGATGGTTTACACCAGGGGTCCCCAACCGCCGGTCCGCGGACCGGTACCGGGCCGCGGAACAAGCCTTACCGGGCCGCTGGTTGCTGGGCGCCGCCATCTTTTTTTGGTAAAAAAAGCAATTTTTCGTCAAAAAAGATGGCGGCGCCCAGCTGACGCCGGAACCGGGCCGCGGCGCCCAGCTGACGCCGGAACCGGGCCGCGGCGTCGAAAAGGTTGGGGATCCCTGGTTTACACTTTAAAGACAAGGTCTGGGATCCCACCAAGTTTTCAAGGGCTTTCAGAATATCATCAGGGTGGAAACAGCTGAGTCTCCAGGGTGATGTAACAAACAAGGCATTCTCCTTTGATCCCCATGGATGACACTGTTCAATCAAAGGGACTTGAAGAGCACACATTCTACCTGATCTTTGTGGATTAATAGCCCACAACCCACTACTTATCTCCATTTTAAAATCTGGGACTAGATATATTGTGACTTCATTCTCTTTGGGTCCCTATAATCATTTCTTTCAATGTTGTAATTATCACCAGTGAGCAATATTAAAAACCTATGTTCTTTCAACCTCAGTTTAAAATACTCTAACCGCAATTTAATATCCTTAACTACCATCCAAGAGAGAATAGCCATACTGTCTTAGGTCTATTCGATCTGGAGTTAAATACTAACTGCAATTTAAACAAATACTTCCGTTCATGTTTTAATTTCAAGACAATCCATCATTGTTCCAACGAGTGAGAAATGCTGACACAACTGAAACATACATTTAGAATGTAATAACCATTGGTCTTTGGGATTTTTTAAATGTAGATTTTTTCAAGAAATAAAGATTTAACAAAGAATGACACCATTTGAATTTTGGCATTAATTTAGTTGACATTCTGCTTTAAAACAAAATACACTATTTTATTGTGTATTTTACATATTTCACCGCATATTGCATTCCTTAAATTTTTAAATACCCTTTCTCCCCATTTTTACCATAAATTAAACAAACAAATATTACCTAAAGCAGTTAACAACAAGACCTGGTAACAGCTAAGAGCAGAAAAGTTGAAGAGTCAGAGGAGCTAATTCTGGCTGCACAAGACCAAGCTTTAAAAACAAATGCATACAAAGCCATAATTGAGATGACAGCAAGAGACAACAAATGCGCTGCCTCTACAAAGAAGCTGAAGAAATAGTAGATTGCTGCAAGAACACACAGACTGACTACAAACAATAGCATAACAAATTAAGAACAATGGAGCATTGGAATTGGAATATCTGCATTGGAATACCACTTCCTCCAAGCAATAATTGGTGGGACCACAAAACAGACAAATAGAAAATGAAGAAGCTACAGTGCTCTGGGACTTTAGAATTCTGACAGGCAAGCACCTGCCACAACATATCCCAGGCTTAACAATTGTTAATAAAAAAGATTTTTAAAAATCTGGATAGTGGATGCGGCAGTTCCTGGGGTCAGCAGAAGAGAAGAGAAAGAACTCAAGTAAATAAAGATCTGCAAATTGAAGTAGAACGAGTGTTGCAAAAGAAAGCAAAGATGGTACCCATATTAATAGGTGCCTTGGATGCAATCGAGAAACCTCTGAAGCCTCACATGAACATCATCTGTATTGACAAAATCACCCATCAGTCAATTGCTAAAGGCAACTTTACTTGGAATAGCGTACATCCTGCTACAATATCTTTAACACCATCAAAAAACATCACCTACCTATCCCAGATCCTTTCTACAATTCATTTGCATACCTTCCATTGTACTTTTGTTATGTCTTATATGATAATTTTATATGATACTCACAGAGCTTACTTAAAAGGGATACAATTAGTATATATGTATTTGATTTTTATCCCACCTTTATTACTTTATAAGCAACTCAAGACTGCCAACATATATAAATACCTTCCTCCACCTTGTCATAAGATTATATTTCACATTTCTAGACCATCCATCTCTTTCAAGGAGATGCCGGTAACACTCATTCTTTGAATTCATAGGCAAATAATCAAAGTTCATTTCATGTTTGAGCTCTTTACAAATATAAAAATCCTTGAAGAGCTGAATGAACTTCAAAAATTTTCCTCAAAAAAAGGAGTCAGCACTGTGAGTCACTGATTTGTGATCACACATCAGTGTGGAAGAACTGAGTTAAGAAGTGCTAGGAATTTCTCAATCAAGCTGGTTTTGAAGGAAAACTCTTAAGCGTCAACCCCATTCGATTGGGCTAGAAGCATAGATGGGCTAAACTAATAAAAGCTTGTCAGTGTGATTGTGTTATACAGGGATCCTCAAACTTGGCAACTTTGTGGATTTTAACTCCCAGAATTCTCCAGCCAGTTGCCAAGTTTGGAGACGTCTGGTTTATACATCTCTCTCCAGAGAATTAGACAGTTATTTGCCTGAATTACTTCTGAATGTTTCTCCAAACTTCAAAAATATTACAGCCCTTTTTGCCTAAGTAATAGTATCCTGCATATTTCCACCAAAATCCTCTTCCTTACTCTCATAGATTATTATAGGTTTAAGTAAGCCTAACAGTCTAGAGACAGAAAAAAACCCCACAGTAATACTAGGTTTAAATGCAGTTTAATGTTAAAGTGTTGGTTTGATCTGAGCTTAGCATGTCGCATGATCCCAGTCATAAACCATATTGGCAGGACATGTAACGCTAGACTAAGACTGGTGATAGAGTTAGACATTTGATTAGTTTATTTGAAAATATTTCTATAACTCTTAGTCTCCAAAAGCAGATCCCAAACAGATCTGACCACATTCTTCATAACTGGAACAGACTAAATCCTAAGAAACATATATTAAAAACAAAATCACAGGGACATATGTGCTATTTATCAGTTGCTGCCTGTTACACTATGTTAGTTACATATGTGTTATTTGAGGAAACATGTAGCAAAACATAAGCTTAACTACCACTTTGAGTTACAGAGAACTTATCAGGTATGAGCTTCATTTCACCTATTAATATTTTCTGGGGTATAGCAAGTTCAAATTTATAGTCTATGAAGGGTTCCATGACACCCACTCATACGTCATCAAGAGAAGAAATGCCGATAAGCAACTTGAAGGCAAGGACTGCATCGTTTTTCAACATTTCTTTTGATAGCCCGCCAAATAAAATCCTGTCTTCTGTAAAGGACAATATATGACCACTCTAAGCAAACTACTTTCTCATATTATATTGATGGAACTTGCAAAAGAAGCCATTTTCCCCTCTGTTTCTTGAATCATTCACCAGTACTATATTAACTCTATTTGAAATGACACCATTACATCATCATACACCAATGAGGATATTAATGAAATGATGGTTAAACAAAGAAGCAAAATATATATTTGGGGAGAAAGAGAACTTGAAGAGCAGGAAGAAGGGAGGTAATTTTCTATATTCCCCTTGATAGAAAAAGCAAGTTTTTCGACAACTACTCAAAAGAACCATCTTTATTAAAGGAGCTACAATGGTTCTGTAACTTGAAGAAATGGACTGCTTTTCATAATCCAATTACAGTAGAGGCAAATCTGATGTCCAAATATCAATTTCTGCATATTGGCATCACTTGATTAATGTGGCTATTTTATTGTCTACACATAGAAAATTAAAAAAACAGAATGAGGGTTTTGTGAGATAACAACATAGCTTGATTTAGGTTCTTAAGAAAGAATATGGAAGAAATGGTCATGAAAGAGCAGCTGAATTACATTTCAGTAACGGTGAAGATTAGGCTTGGAGGACCAACCCAGAATAGTCATCATCTCTCTGCCCAAACGTATCTTACAGGAACATTGTGGATAAAAATGGAATGCTAGAACTACTGAAGAATAGGTAGGATATAAATGTAATGAATAAATGTTAAACATAATTGCTAAGTAATAAAATATAGTAGCCAATGAAAAATCATCAGAATTTAGTATGCAGGATCAATGTTTTACTAAAAATAAAATATATTTATGCTATTATCCACATTAGACATTATTTTCAGAGTAAGGTCAGAGAAAGAACAAGATTCAGGAATAATTCAACTTTCCAATGAACCCCTAATTATAAAGAAGACTGTGTATTATTATTATTTTAAAAAAAAGAAAGGTAACATATTAAGAATGATAATGTTGCCACTCATTGGCCATTGAGAAAACTAGACTACTAGGTTATTGCTATATCAAGATGACCCATTTGGACTTTGCAAACAGAGCTCCATATACAAGGCCGAGTCAGAAAAGAAGGGTCTGATAACTGATAACATTTGAGAGAGACAGATTAAATACAATTGAGCTTCTAAAAGAGAAAAGACAAGCTTCACTGGGCAAAAAAGTATTTGTTCTGAAGTACACCCAAGGGTATACATTCAGTGGAACAACTCTGCCAGTTTGTGTTCAAATGAAATCTTCCAAAATATGATTTATTAAATGGCCTTTAGGTCACAATATCAATGAAAGACAAGATTATCAAGGAATGTCTACTCTGCTGATCTTTCCATCCCCTTAATTTATCAGCTTTCCTCCAAGGAGTTCAATGGCAGTATATGCTATCTCCATCACATTTTTATCCATGAATGGTAAAAAAAATTAGTCCAAAAGATACTAGGTTTCAAAAATGCCTATTAAGTTTCTTAGGCATGGATTTGGCCATCTAAGGAGGAGGGAGAAATAAATCAATGAAGTTCAGTTATATTTTATAATTGAATTTGGGAAGCAGATTTTAATTACTGCTTCTTTGTGATTCATTTTTCTATTTAGGAAACTTCCTATATTTCAGCTGCTTTTATAGGAGGCTTGGAAATTGCTACTCGGCTTACTACTTCTCAGTCTGAAATCTAAAAAAGTAAACATATATATTTAGGGAAATATATATATTTAACAGATTTGTTTTAGCATTCTAAAGTTAGTTATGCAGTTTGGAGTGTCAGAGATTAACCATCAAATGCCATTCTTTCAAAGATGTTTTCAATAGAAATTAAATCAGGATAAATAGTAATGATGGATTGGAACCCTCCCAAATCTATTCCCTGAGAATAGCTAAGCGTAATTAAAATAGTTTGCAAAGGTTACAACACAAATACTATATACTATCTCATATCCAACAGCATCTCTCGTGTCTCTAAAATTTATATTTATCTAGAATATAACATAGCAGGATTATCTAGGAATTATTTGAAATCTTAAGAACATACTATTTTTTTGTATTTCTACTAGCAGTAAGTAGTGCTATCAGGAAGCATCTTGTTAAATATCTCATACATGAAGAGGCCAATTCAAAAACAATTTATATGCAATGTATCAGAGTGGATTTTCCACAATATTCTGCAACTATTTTTTTCTTTTTGGACACTCCATTAATATTATAGAATATATATTTTCTCTCTAAAAGAAAATGTGCTGGCTGACAGTGTTCCAAACCATACTGAGATTTCTCAATGTTGCTGGATGAAAAGTTTCTCTGAAGAAACTTTCAACTATTCATCATTGCCAACCTACGTAAAATGTAAAGTGATGCAAAGGCGTACTCTGTTTACAAAATACAGTAGAAGTGTGCTTCCAAAAGGCCTAGCCAGGGTTTTAACAAATCGCTCCTCCCCCTAATATTTCTTTATTTAATACTTCACTTTCAGTGGGGGCTTCTAAAAGCAGGTGACCAGCAACTCTTTAAACCAGGGGCCTCTAACCTTGGCAACTTTAAGACTTGTGAACTTCAACAGCTGGCTGAGAAACTCTGGGAGTTGAAGACCACAAGTCTTAAAGTTGCCAAGGTTGGAGACCTCTGGTTTAAACTATTCCTAGTAACTTGGGTAGCTTTACTACATACCAGCCAGGGTTTAATAAAAACCCCGAACATTTCTTCATTTATACTTGACTTTCAGTGGGGCCTTCTAAAAGCAGGTCACCAGCAACTCCTCTTTAAACTATTCCTAGTAACGTACTTGGGTAGTTTTACTACACATCAGAAGCAATAGCAGTGAACTCCTGGATACAATCTAATGAAAGCTGCCCAACACGTCCCAGGGAAGCTGTTTTAAACTAATTCAGCCGGCCTACTTTCTATAGCAACAAGTCCTTTCCGCAGCAAGGCCAGCTTCCCATAAACTTAACTCACACTCGTTGCCTTACATTAACTGGAAGCTTATTTTATGTTCTCTGTATGTTGCAGTACAGATTGCGTCTCTCGTCCATCCTTTGCTTCTCTGAATACCGAGATGCCCAAAACACCCGTTTCTTACCTTGTCATAACACCGCATAAACTTAACCACCCAAACTTTTGCCCGAAAACACCAGCAAGGAATGAAGACTTCCTACACACAGCCTATACGTTAACGCTATCAAGCACGCAGGCAAACATGCTTATCTATAGGCTCTTATAGCCAGGACTCTTCCTGCATCGCATCCCACAAGGGGCGGAGCCGAGAACCCGAGCGAAAGAACCCAAACGCACCTTTGGGAGTAGGTAAAGTAAGAAACTTTCACGCCGTGGGGAAAAAAACCAGGAGAATGACCTTCTCGTCCAACCTCTTAACATTTGTTCGATCGCCTGGATATTTAATGGCGATTCCTCTGGAAAAAGAAGGTAGAATGCTTATGGAAACAACGGCTAAAGTTCCGCAAGGCGCCGAAGACATAAAGTGGTTGCAGAATTATGTCTTAACGTGGGAACCCTGCTGCCATACCCCTAAGGGAAACACACAGCTATGCATAATTAAGACTTACACCCGGTTGGTCGAACGATTAGAGTAGTAAAACACCAACCTCCGCTTACTCAAGAGAAAACAGTGGACTCCCTGGATCTTGCTTCTAACTAAGATCGGATTGCATGTTAGGTTTTACAGCTGCCTGCCTTTTTTTGCTGAAAAGTCTCATCATAATGGGACGATGTTGAAAACAAAAAGGAACATGCCAGAGCAGATTCGTACTTAACCTTAGATTATGTTGAGAGGGAATGATATGGAGATGGTTAAACAGATGGGCAGGTGACCAACAAATACAATTGTGAATATGTAGTTGACTTTAAAAAGATTGCTATAGAAAATTGATGGCAATACTTTGGATCTCAAGGAGAACAAATCATTTTGTACTAAATGAAGTAAAACCAGGATGCTCACCAGAAATACTAATTGTGAGCCAAATTGATGCATGGTGGGAAGGTATCCATTTTTGTTCATTCAGCCTTTCAGATGATTAAACCACAATTTGGTAGAAGCCAAGCTGTAAACCAACATTTACAAATTAGATTGGTTAGAGAGTGAGACAATTACATCTGAACTTTTACCAGTTCTATTAACTGGTCAGAGTCTGGCTTCTTTGCTTTGGGCCAGTCACTCACTCACTCACTCACTCACTCACCTTCCAGGTTTGTTGTGGGGAAAATACAAAAGGGAAGGAGCATTATGTTTGTCTGTCACCTTGAGTTATTTATAAAGTAATACAAATAAAATAAAAATCTAATAAATATTTTACACCAGTCAGAATGTCCAATGGCCAACTGATTACCATAAAGCCAATATTTGTAAGTGAGGTTCACAGTGCCAATTTTTACAGTGCCATTTTTAAAGTCAGTTCTATTTTGAGACAATGCAAACAGGAGAATAGCTTAGTATCTCTCCATTATCTTTTTATGCTCATTTAACCATCACCTTCCGCACCCATATATATTAGAGTAAGAAAAAGTGCAATAAGAACAGCCCCATTTATGGATTCTCTAAACTCCATTCTCCAGCAATGGGCAACAAATCTTTGATAGTTCTTATATGTGTTCGGGTTGAGTTCAACCTTTATCTTTCAACAGCAATCCTTGTAGGCATCTTTTGAGCCATTCCATCTATCTCGGTTCCTCTGCAAACCCTAGGAAACAACAAGATCCAAGGTTGAGAGAGGGGGCACAATCCTATTCAGGACTTCTTACTGCGGGTAGGGACTAGGTTCTTGGCAGGACTATAGAGCAGATCCTTAGTTATAGCCCCCAACTTCTGAAACCCATCAGGATCCATCCGTTGCCAGGGATGAATTGATCTAATAAGTTCCACATCCCTGCAGAGGGGTACAGCCTTAGAGAAATTCATCATTACCACACTCTAAGCCAGGGGTCTTCAAACTTGACAGCTTTAAGACTTGTGGACTTCAACTCCCAGAATTCCACCTCCAGTCATGTTAGCTCAGGAATTCTGGGAGTTGAAGTCCACAAGTCTTAAAGCTGTCAAGTTTGAAGACCCTTGCTCTAAGCTGAACATGACAATGGGGCCAAAAGATAGATCCACCAATTCCACACCACAAAGGCACCATTCCAATAAGAACACCAAATCGAGTGTGACCATTATTCCTAGTCGAGTCCTGGATATCTAGGGACAGGCCCATGAATGTCATTCCATGAACTCCTGAGCTATCTCTGACACACACACCCCACTCCCATGGAAGGCAGGTTGAAGCCCCCCAGATCATCATCAGCCTGGGAAACTCCACCACCACCCCTGTAGCTTGGTTCAAGAGCTTGGGCAGGGAAACTGCTAGGTGGCAATGAGACTAATACAATAGCAGCAGTCCTTAGAGACTACTCCAGTGGTGGGATTCAAAAATTTTTTAGTGCTGGTTCTGTGGGCGTGACTTGGTGGGCGTGGCAGGGGAAGGATACTGCAAAATCCCCATTCCCTCCCCACCCCACTAACCTGCTTCCCAGCTCCGTTCTCCTGTGCAGGGCAACAAAAGAAGACCCAGCCAATCAGCTGGGACTCGGGAAGCAGAGAATAGACGGGGACAGTCAGAGGTGGTATTTACCGGTTCTCCAAACTACTCAAAATTTCCGCTACCAGTTCTCCAGAACTGGTCAGAACCTGCTGAATACCACCTCTGGACCACTCTAAGGAAAAAGGTCTCACAATGGGCATTTGTGGAGCTATGCCCTTGGTAACAGCTCTTGGAAAGCAACAGTCACATTACTTCCCCTGCCCCGCAATCTGGACTGGTGCCCATACCCGATATCTGGCTAGGTATATTTCTGAGAGAGGAAATCTTCCCTCTGGTCCTATGTATCCGTGATACATGCCAAGCCTATACACTCTTGGTGGTGATCCAGTCAATAATGAGGGGTGCCTTATTGTAGACCAACCTGGGTTTAAGAGCAACAGCCTAAGATCTGGGCCACTATTGATCTACTGACCAGGGAAAGCGGGGGCTCAAGGGGGCCGGAACGCACAACCAATACAAAATATTGCAGACTTGTTCCCTGTGAAAGGGAGACCCCCTCCCTTATTATATCAACTTGGGGATAATCGTGTCCATTTAGAAAAAGTTTACTGTTACTGAATAACAATTAATGGAGGAGAAGTTGCAGACTGGGTACCATGTAATTTCTACCTGACCGTCTTTTCAATTATGTCATCTAGAAGCCCAGAACTTAATTACAATTCATGACTTTACTTATTCATTGTACTAATCTATCTAATTATCTCTGGGCATAATGAGACAGCTTCATATATAAAGAACTGTAATTATTCTTTGTAGTAATTTATTTAATTATTATACGGGGCGGTGGGGCTATTCCAGAATTTCTATTTCGGTTGCAATGTCCTGGAGTCCTGTGATCATCTTTTGTGACCTTCTGAAAAGCGAAGTCAATGGAGAAGCCAAATTCAATTAGGAACCATGTTATTAACTTACAACTGCAGTGATTCACTTAACAACTGTGGCAAGAAAGGTCGTAAAATGGGGCAAAATTCATTGAACAACTTGCTTAGCAATGGAAATTTTAGGCTCAGTTGTGGTCATAAGACGAGGACACTTCATCTAGGGAACAACTGCATTTCACTTTCTATGCAGATAATTGGGGTGATGCGATCATAGATTCCAGTTGGTATCAGGAGCCTTGAAGGCCCTTAGTTAATACAACCTCAATGTCCAATTGGTAATTACCATAAGACCAAAATCATGATCTTTACCAAAATGCCAAAGAAATACTAATAAACATTCAATGATCATCTTATTAAGTAGGCCAAATGATTACATACCAAGATATGATTTTTCTCACTTCAAATAAAAAAATAAAATAAAATGCTAACATTTATATACTATATTAGTGTTTATACTTGTAGAAAGTAATGAGGTCTTCTATCTTCCTCTTACAAATAAGATTACATTTTTAAGAAATCTCTGTTGCTTTTAATATTGTGTTATTTCTGTAGAGCTGTGTCTAGTGAACAACTTGAAAGAAAATACTGTCTGAGCTATTAGCTATGTGATTTCTATAAAAATGTAGCATAAAGTATTTTCAGATGTATAATTACAGCATCCTGTTAATTGATCTAAAATAATGCCAACAGTAGCAAGCTCAGGTGAGGAAAAAAGAGAGATATGAAAGCAAACTCATTTTGAATTAAGGTAGGTTTTCATTTATTTATTTATTTTAAATGTTCAGAATGGTGACGATATAACTAGTGCATAGAAAAGATATATTTTTCCTGTTGATGTGGGATAGATGTGAACTCCATGGTCTCATCAACTTAAGCCGACAACTTGTGCCAACAACGTATGTTTTAAAATATAATCAGGGTTAACCATTTTTAGATAATTACAATTATATTGCAATTTATAAAGTAGGAGAGAACATAGCATTTATCTTCTGTTATAGTAAGATGTCTAACAAAATAAAAAAAATAAACTGGTTAAAAATGTCTATGCTAAGCTTAAAATAATAAATATCTATTCCTAATATACTTGATTAATACAATGTAAGTAGGGCTGGGCAGTACTGCGGATTCATTTTCAGAAATGTGTTTTAGAGAATCCAGGAATCATGAATTTGATATTTAACCTGTCACTATTGCTCGGCACAATTTGCTTAGCATTCTCTGGTTTAAACATTGCAAATGTGTTTGGCATCTTCAAGGAAAAAAAATCAGTGAACATTTAAGGGCTGCTTCCGGGCCAATGATTCTCTCTCTCTTCATTCTTTTCTCATTTCTGGTTAAGCTTACTGTCACTTCCAGTTGTTTAAAGGTTTGCTTTTATGTTTTTCTATGGAACGACCACAAGATGGCACTATATGTAACAATTCTCCCTCTCCCTCCCCCTCCCTTCTCTCTCTCTCTCTCTCTCTCTCTCGCTCTCTCTCTCTCTCTCTCTCTCACACACACACACACACACACACACACACACAAAATATCTTGCTTTTTGCAAAAGCAAAAATTAAGGACTTTTTATTCATTATATCTTTATCTAACCCTTCTTCTGAGGGAGTCATGTAGTGTTAGCTTCTCCCACTGGCAACCTAAAATATTCTATTTACTTAATTCTTTTTAAATTCTATCCCACTTTTTTTTTCAGGAACTCAGGCTATTCCTTCCTCTTCCTATTTTTCCCTATA